GGAGTAGGAGTTGTTTGAAGGAATTTGTGGATGAGGATTGACGCATGGAGGTGGGAAGTGAGTTCCACAAGGAAGCAGCACGAATGACAAAGGATTTGCTGAAGGAGGAAGTTTTATGGGAGGGAATATATAAGTCTATAGGTTGAGACCTAGTATTGCGAGAGTGGATAGAGGAGCGCAGAGTAAGGAGTTCCAGTATGTAGGGAGGGTTTTTGGTTCTGAAGACTTGGAAAAGGAAAACGCCAAGAAGGAATTGTCGTCGATAAGTAGGATAAAGCCACTTCAACTCGGTGTACCATAGTGAAACATGTGAACGCCTGGGGATCCCGAAAACGTATCTTATGAAATAATTCATGAGTCTTTTTAGTCTCATTCCCAGCCTGGCAGATAGCACTCCATACACCAAACAGCCGTAGTCGAAGTGGGGGAATACAAGGGAGGTTACAAGGAGTTGTCTGGTTTTTAGAGGAATACAATCACGGAATCTTAGGAGTTGTTTAAGGGCAGTTATGGATTTTCGGGTAATCTGGGAGATATGGTTATTCCAGGAGAGGTTCTGGTCAAAGGTTACTCCTAGGTTTTTGACTGTAGGGAAAAAATGGATGGAATGGTTATAGAAGTAAAGTAGAGGAAAGTAAGGAAGGAAACTGATGAGATGAGCCTGGACCCGATGATAATAGCCTTGGTTTTATCTGCATTCATCTTTAATTCATTTATTTCTGCCCATCTGTTGATGCAGTCGATGTCCTCTTGTAGCCTTCGGGCAGCCTCAGGCTACTTTCTTCTGTTAAGACTATCGATATCCTCTTGTAGCTTTCAAGTAACCTCATGAATCTCAGAAGATTGGTAGGTTTTGAAATCATCAGAAAAGTCTGTGGTGAAAGGAATCAGAATGCTGGTTAATATAAATGGAGAAAAGGGTGGGTGAGAGTGAAGGATTTTGGGGAATAACCTCATGTTAACTGAAGAGATGAAGAAGGAAATTTGTTATAACGGCAACTTTCATGAAAAATGGGATAACAAGGACAAGAACTATTTTAGAACGCTATTTGATATGGACATCCTTTAAAGTTTGGAAACATATGCACTTGTATGGAATGGTACATATGGAAACATGTCTTTGTACGGCTGCTGACCATGAACAGTCATAATCCGTAGATTTAGACCGAATGGTCACTGTCCTTGAATCTGTGAGGAACAGTATCATCATATGATTCATAAAGTGCCAAACTGACCCCAATAGGTCTGTTATATGGATCTATAATCTGTTATATGTACCTAAGGATAGAATGTTTCCGTAGAAAGAATTGTCTATTAGTAGATGAGGTTGGGTGATCTCCTTCAGATTATGTATACTTCCGCAAGTATATAATAAACGTCCCTAAGAAGTGACCAAAGAATTTCATGGTCTGTAGTGATTACATAATAGATTATATTATATATGCAGACTATATATATTGAATAGAATAGAGTAGAATGGAGTAGAAAATAATTTTATTCTGGGACAAAGTTCCTTTAGAATAACAAAAAAATACAAAATTAAAATATTACATCTGGCCTAAATAAAGGCAAACACAGAAAATAAAAAGAAAGAGAAATAAGAAAAGAAAACATTAGTTAAACATACTCTATACAAAACAAAAAAAAAATCAATACACAAAACACTTGAAACTATGCCTAAACACTTAAAACTATGTACAGTGGTAAAACATAAATATACAATTTTACAAAAAAAAAAAAAAAAAAATTAAATTTTTCTTAGAAATAATCTCTTAGTTTTTTTAGAAAAAAGAAAAGAAAAAGAAAGCCGAATCTGATGGTAAAAATTGTCTGAGTATTTAAATGATGAGTTATATGTAAATACATCATTATGAATAATATGTAATTTTACGTAAAATGTAAAAAAACTCAGGCTGACTCAGGCCTGGTCAACTCAGCAGTGGCTGCTAAAGAACATTCCAGAGTTCATCTCAGGAAGCCCTGATCTCAACCCACTAGATTATCGACTTTGGTCCGATTTGGAGAGGATGGCAGCCAAAGAGCATATCATAACTGGTCACGCAGATTAAATGTCTGTGTCACGCATTAAATTGGTCACGTAGATTAAATGTCTGTGTCAACGCTCCTTACTTTGTCACAAATAAAATCATCCATTAAGGTCTTTATGTTCCATATGTTTCCGATCTGGCCCAATCCAGATATCTATCCTTCCATAACAAACTGCAGAACCATCCGAATCCTCTCGTTTCAAACCTTGCTTCCTCCTCGATCCCTGACAATCCTCCGAGCCGTCTGAAAAGAAGATGGCCTCGGGACCTTCTAATATAGAACTTTAATCTGAGTTCTACCAATGGGTAGTTTCTCTTCATGTTGTACATGTCATGTTGCCAATGTCACATTTACTTATTGTATTTTCCATGTAATACAGTTGTAAATCTCAATAAATTAAAATTAAAAAAAAAAAATTTCTAACAAAGTTTTTGAACAAAATGATTTTTCTGTTGATATATTTTCCTTGTAACAATATTTATGACAGGCTAGGTCCTATTGTCCTTATGCTATACTAGTGTCGCTTTTTAGCATTTGTTGACTGTTTTGTTGCTTAGGAAATGTTGAGTTAGAAAATGCTTCTGAATTGCGTTTCATATTAATCAATTTCTGGAACCAGAGAGAATCCTACATGCTATACTATGCTTACAGAGAATCCTATATTTTCCCAATTAACCGATGTTCCGGTTTTATTATGATTTTCCTTATTCGGTACCACTTATTGGGGATGCTCCTAACTGCGGTTTTCCCGATTATTTGAAAATACAAATAATTTTATAACATTCCAAAGCACATTAAGAGCGTTTATCAGTTTAAATTGTTAATTAATCTTTTATCAATTAATTGGATTTGCGCGTGACAGGTGACACGCTTGTTGAAGAATTCGCTAATCGCAGTTCCGCCATGAGACGATTGGTTTAATTTATATGAAAAAATTCAAGTTAATTCATTAACTGAGAAAGTAAAGGAACTTGTTTAACAAAATCGCAATTATGTTTTACTTGGAACAAGAACTAAAAGAGAGGATTGGTCGAACTTCATCGTAAAAATGTTGATTGACTTTGAATTTCTCGAAAACCAAACTGTTTACCAACGAAAGCGGATCAGGAATAATCATAGAAGAAAACATGATAGATACAAACTAGAAATCTCACAAAGAACTGTATTAAGTATAGAATAATATTAAGGGATAGAATAAAATATTACAGAGAATTACTTTTTTGTTACATCAAACATGGAACGAATCTAGGATCGTGAGACCCTTTTGGGGCACACCCAACTTCTTTAAAGTAGTTGCTCATAATTAATTAAGGGGAAAAATAGCGGTTGAGCGTGATTTCGGTCAAATCATATACTTTTACAACTCTTGACCAAGATACAGTACTTCCCTACAAAGTACTCAAACACCATAACTCTCCATGAGTTGTACTAGTACAGGCCACAAAATCAAAGTTAAGATCATAATGGAGGTGATGAACGTTGCATTGATGATTACTGAAAGATGAATTAAACTATTGAAGGAATGGTGGCCATCAAATTCGAATAGAACAGGGATCTCCACACTTTTGGTCCACAACATTGAGACCTCCGGCGAGCTGCATTGAGACTTCACTAGGGGGCCTTATTCTGCTTTGAAAAAAAAAAAAATGCTTGTCTTATAAATGAAACTTCAGTCGTGAAATTAACTTCCAATAAGAAACAACTCATTCAATAAATGTTGTAGCAACATCGTGTTTGAGTGGTTTACTAAATTTATTTATTTTGTTAAATTTCATTTCCTTTTCTGAAGAATGGACCTTACATAGGATACTGTGGAAAGAAGCCATCCAAGGTCTAGGTTAAGGAAACCCACTATTAGTGGAAACTCCTAATAAACAAAAAGTTTACAATAAAACCAAAGAAACTTTCACTGCTCCTAGCTTGGAGAACTGTGTTATAGAAGAATAGAAAGACAACTGATCAAAAGAAGAAACGACATTAAAAAGCAAAAGCCATACGCTGTGTGAGGAAAGAAGATTGGTAAAAAATACGGTAGGGCTTTGCTTAATATTGGACTAGATTCAGAAAGCTGTAAAGTTTTCATTTTATTAATTTTTTTTTAGGAAGACCTATTTCTGGAGTATCATCAGACAGAGATGAAGCAGGCAAGACTACCCTCACGGATCCAGAGATCTTCCTGAAGACCAGAGAAAAATACTTTTATTTTTTGTAAAATGTGTTACCGGCTTTTAATGTTACATTTTAATAGCACTAATCCATAGCTGGGCACATATGTTTCTGTGATACCAGTGCAAAATCCGTGTCTCGAAAGGCTGGTAGGGATGAATAAATAAATAACAATCAAGTTTTTATTTTATTTTTACACATTCTCGAGTCTAAAGGTGAAGGTTCGAATTCGACCTGAATGAGTTAAAATTTAGTCTGTGGGGAATCCATGGAATGATTTTCGACCTTCCCACTATGGTTAGAATAAGTTTAGTTTACCTCTAGAACAATCCATACGTATGTCAGAAGAGGTGTAGGAGGGGATATTAAAAAAAACCCCCAAAAAAACAACAAGGATAAAGCCAATAACAGATGGAAGAACCATTTCTGCGCTTTGGTGGTGTTAGTGTAGGAAGTGAAGTAGAAATGCCTGGAGAGAGATCTCCAGATGTAGATGATATCCAACTGACCATAAATAATTTATATAGCAACAGAACTCCGGGATCAGATGATCAGACTCAGACAGGGAGACTACCTGGGATGCGACTTTTCGGGTCTTCAGATACACATTAAAAGCAAAGGTGTTTTCAGGACCATTAAGGTGGGTTTATATAAAACACATATCTGACCCGTGTTGACCAATGGATCGAAAAGCTGAACTATTAGGAAAACTTAAGGTAACTCGCAAGTTTGAGCGTCCAATTCTCTACTGAATCTAAGGAGCGATGGTAGTCGGAAACAACGCACTAATTCAGAATTTCTAAAGCCAATATCAGCACCACAAGATGCGTTGAGTGAGCGCGCCATATGGCGAGAATGACCGATGATGAAATCCTGAGAACTATATTGGACGAATGGCTGTACGAACGGAGGCTGCGCCGTACTAAGGGTGTAGCTGATGCAGCTTGGTCTATCCGGAAATGGAAAGGAGCGGCACAACAAAAAGACGACTGATTGTCGTTGCTGCAGGTGGCCTTGCTCACCCCTAGGAGTGTAGAGTTAAGAAGAAGAAGCAATTTTTCCTTTAAGAAGAACCCCTCCTCCTCCACCCAAAAAAGACGCCTGACGATATGAATCTGCAAAAGATGCAAAATGGGTGACATTAATAAATATAATTTCGGTACTCCTTTTAGTTATTCACTTTTAACTCCAGAACTGTCCAGTTTTATCTAATTTAGAACGTATTATTAACAGATATCTTTGGTACAAATTAGATATTTTCTCTGGTTATGTTGTGGAATAGAGGTTGTGTCAGTTATAAGTTTGCAAAATTCCACTCTTTGTCACTTGTTATTCATACATATTCCTTTATTTTGAATTTTCTTAAAACTTAATACAAATGTATATATTTTTGATGACCAATTTCGCCTTCCAACATTTAATTCGAGACGAAGACATCTTGCCTTCAATCTCTAGGTAACATGATTCACCACGAAGTGATGCTTCTACCCGAAATCACTACACGTCCTCGATTGACAGTGTATGGCCCAGTAATTGAAGTGATTTATTAATCATTTAATAATTATCCTCTGTCTATACATTATTTTAGGAAATAATAAACCAAAATAATTTCTTTCAGGTCAATACTTTATTGGATACTTTCACTAAAACATTATTCCTCCATATTGGAATATCTTCGGGTGTTTATTCAAGTGCATTTCAGGATAGGGATGAGCAATACTTGCCATTAAGTTCAGATCTGAGAAGTCACGTGATTAGAATGTGTAGGAAATCACTCACTGAATGAATGATCGAACGGTTGTTTGTTAATGATTATTGAATTAATTATGTCATAATTAATTCACAAGGGATGATTCAGATCTGGACTGGTGGTACTTAATTTCATTATTTTTATATTTTATTTTTTAGCATCTTTCTTGAATCCCTGGCTCTAGCATTGTAGCTATAGGTATTACGAACTCCGTTTCAACTTGCTTTATTTTCCCTCGAAAGTGCTTCTTGAACTACTGAAAGTTTTCATGAGGTTAAGTTCTTCCCTGATTTTCACCAAGTTCCTGGAGAAGATGTTTTATTTTGAATCGGTGCTTCGAAGAGACCAACACTGTTTGTAGGAATAGTTGGGATAACGCCACAAACATGTTTTACTTTAAAAAATAAAAAATGCGTGAGCAGCAAAACTTATTTTTGTTTTAAAAACAAGTGAAAAGTGATTTAATTGTTTATTAATGTTTACTTAAGGAAATTTTATTTATGATATTTGCACCTGTATTAATATAAATACATCAAGTAAATGTGTACACATAAATGTAATCACATGAAAACGCTTTTTGAGAAGCTACTCACTGGTAGTACTCTAATAATATTTCTACAAAAGGAGATCACGCTGTCATCAGGAAGCAAGGTTGGAAACAAGAGGATTGGGATGGTTATGAAGTTTATTATGGAAGGATAGATATCTGGATTGGGCCAAATCGGAAACATATGGAACATTAAGGTCTAATGTTAACGTCTTTGATATCATTGAGGTCTTATCCCCGTTGATGCCACTTCACAGGGCTTAAACGCCCAATGTTCAAATGCGTCTTCCTCCAAAATACCGTCAATATGGTTTATTTTAAATAATCAACTATCTCACATTATTAAAAGTTACGAAACAATGCTAAATATAACTTTAGAAAGAATTTGATAATTGAATAAAGGATAAAAAAATAAAAATGCTTATACAGGTCGAAAATGAATCTCCGGAAATACAAGCCAGGACGTATACGTATAATATATCGTTGGAAAGCGAAGAATTTTAGAAAAAAACAATATCTAATATAGAAAGTTTAGAAGGTAACAGAGAGGGACAAAAAAATTATAAATAACAATGTTTGAAAACTAATAATCTTTAAGGTAAATCACATGTTTTCAAGGAAATTAAATGAAATTTACTAACTAAATGTAAACTTTTAAAATATTGTTAAGCTTGAAAAAAGTATTTTAAATCCACCTAATCAAGGCAATAATATTGTTAAAAAAACTATTTCAAATTAATTGTGTGAAAGATGAAGTAAAATATAAAATAATTTTATGGATAAACTAGGTTAGTGGTTATAGATGTGATATTATATTTAAATAATTAGGTATCAATGTCCGTTTATTTCGAAATATTGTCATGCAACTTTTTAGAAAATTAAATTAGTGAATAATTTGATGAATTTTCCCTTTGTGATATTCCAACAGTATCCACTAATATCTCATTTTAGTTTTGTGAAATACAAAAATATTTCATAGATATGTTTATAACCTTAATTATATTGACTGTAGTTTAGTATTATATTTAAATATTTAGTTACTATCGTCCGTTTACTTTCTAAGTAAAGCTAAAAAGTGTTTAAAATCCACCGAATCAAGTCAATGCCATTGGTTAAAATATTATTTCATGGATATGTTTATAACCTTAAATATATTTCGTTTTTAATTAAGTTTAATTACCCTAAAGATGATATTATATTTAAATAACAGGTATCTATTGGTCGTTTTTCCAAAAAATTATCAAGTAATCTTTTAGAAAATTAAATTAGTGAATAATTTGATGAATTTTCCCTTCGTGAAATCCCAACATTATCAACTTACAATTAGTGCGACAACTTTTGACCTATCCATTGCAGGCAATGAAAATTACGTAATTTCATTTTAGTAAACTTTACAATGCAAAATAACAGTTCAATAATTAATAGTCCTACAATCCATAATCATTTATAGGTTAAATATTCAAATGTGCTTTCAAATTTCTCCAGGCATATATTAGGCTTTCGGATGACTGAATGACAAACTCCAATTTCAACATTCTTTATTATTAATTTTAGTGATATTTCTAGTGGCAAAATGTATACCATTATTTACAGTATCATAAAGGTATAAACTGAAGTTGTAAGGTATAAATTGACATTTGTAATTGTAATGGTTTTAATGATTTGTTATCTGTAAGTTTTAAATTTTAGCTCTGTTTAAAATACACTACAAAAATATTATAATAGTCCAACATTGCCAGAAAAAAATTACTATTCAAAGTAGAGCGGTAAGTGAAAGTTGTGTGCGCACCAGATTTTTAATATTTAAACTGTACTCTTTACCTTCTCTTCTATTAATATTAATTATTATTTTTAAAAAACGTATTTTCAGCTTTTTTTCTTAAATCAACAACCTTTGTTTTAATTGTCTTTGTTAATTTATCTCCTTATAATCTTTAACTTTCAATTGTACTATCATATTCACCTGTAACTATTTTTTAGTTTATAAAATTGAAATTGCAATTGTTAGCTGTAGTTTTGTTATGTATTTCTATACCAATTGTAATATAGGGCGAAAATGGCCCAGGTGGTTGAAGAACCCAAAAAATGTATAAATAAATAATATAAAAATTCTGTCTTAAGGGGCAAGTTCGTAAACCAATGACTTCCTGTCCTTCAGTATCCTTTAACAACACCTCACTTATTCCTGTTGAACAAATCCGTTACCTAGGACTCCATCTGGACAAACGTCTAACTTGGAATCCTCATACCAGACTGAAACGACAAGAAACAGCTCGACGTTTTCGACTACTTCAACACTTACTAGACAAACGCTCTAACCTTCCAATCAATTATAAAAGACTGATTTACATGACTATAATAAGGCCTATTTGGACTTACGAGGTTGAGCTATGGGGCTCCACCAAGCCTTCAAATTCCTCTCGCATACAGTCCTTGCAATCCAAAATCCTTCGTAAAATCCTCAATGCTCCTTACTTTGTTACAAATCAAATTATCCATAATGACCTTAATGTTCCTTATGTATCAGATTTGGCCCAATCCAGATATCTGTCCTTCCATAATAAACTTCATCACCATCCCAACCCTCTTGTCTCTAACCTAGCTTCCTATTCGATTCCTGATAACCCTCCGAGGCGTCTGAAAAGAAGATGGCCACGTGATCTTCTAATATAGACATATTATTAGAGTGCTACCAATGGGTAGTTTCTCAACATGTGTTCCATGTCTTTATAGCAATGTGCAAATTTACTAGATGTATTTTTTGTATACAGTTGTAAATATCATTTAAAATTAAAAAAAAAAAAAAAAAGGAGCAAGTATATATATATATATATATATATATATATATATATATATATATATATATATATATATATATATATATATATATATATATGTATATATATATATTAAATAACAGGTATCAATTAGTCGTTTTTTTCCCCAAAAATGATCAAGTAATCTTTTTGAAAATTAAATTAGTGAATAATTTGGAAATATGGAAAATAACAGTTTAATAACTAATTGTCCTACAATCCGTAATCATTTATAGGTTAAATATTCAGATGTACCTTCAAATCTCTCTAGGCATATATTAGCCTTTCGGATGAATGAATGACTAAATCCAATTTCAACATTCTTTATTATTAATTTTAGTGATATTTCTAGTGGCAGAATGTATACCATTATTCACAGTATTATAAAGGTGAACTGAAGTTGTATGGTTTATAAAAGCAGATGGTGGAACTAGATTTTTATTGCCTACCGTCTATATAATAAATAGACATTTGTAATTTAATGGTCCTAATGATTTGTTATCTGTAAGTTTTAAGCTTTAGCTCCGTTTAAAATACAGTACAAAAATTTTATAATAGTTCAACATTGCTATTGTAATATATATATATATATACATATATATATATATATATATATGTATGTGTATATGTCAAGAATACTCTGCCGTTTTTCAGGGTATGCAATTGTTTTGTTTGCATACGGTTAGGTTGAACATGAACTGAAGAAGTGATTTCGAAATCTTATAATTTGACCTATTTACCGTTTGAGAGTGTTTGGAATATTCCTTTATGCATATTATTATTTTTTTTCCTGGTAATTTATAATTAGTTAGATATAGAAAGTAAATACACGCTTCACTACGATGGTACTCCATTGTAGCGAGTTTGTTCAAGTGTTCTCAAGAATGGGGATGTTTGAACGTTCCATAAAATATTAATTTTACTATTTCACCATAAAATCATAATGGCACAGCTACCACGTGATCAATCTGCATTTGATGTAATGCAATTCATAATTAATTGTGGAATATTACAGAACAATATAAACAT